TCTGCAGTGAGCCAGGATCTGCCCTAAGTGCCGGGGGTCAGAGTGGGCCAAGAGGTCACAGTGGACCAAGAAGCCAAAAGCGTGTGCCCTCACAGGGTCACGCTACACAGACAACAGACGTTATATCCACAGGCATGCGTTCTGTTTCTCAGATGCACAGTAATTCCCTGAATAAAAGTGGAATCATTCTGTTCACTCTTTTTCACTCATAAAGAACGAAAAGTAAAAAGTAAAAATTTTAGAGAAGTAAATTCTGAATGAGCCACTGTCACTGCTTCCATACATTGTGATCCTTTGAATACACACAACTGTGGGTCATACCATACCTTCAGACTCTTAGAAAGGGATAGATTTTGAATAAAATACCTAATAGTTCACTTTCAGTAAATTTTGGTCCAGTAAACTAACGAATGGCATTGTGAACTGATTCACATTGTTCATATGCCTTGGCCCTATAATCCCATTCTTGTACATGTATCCTGGGGGGGACAAAAAGGCAAATGAAAAAACAAATCTATAGCATGCATCTGTCTGCTGCAGTGTTATGTATAATAGCAGAATAGGGCAGGAGGAAATAATGTAATGGTTCCCCCGTAGAGGAAGGTAAGCCTTAGTCAGAGTCAGTTGCCTTAGTCAGCCATCAAAATGTAGCAATGAGAGTGCTATACAGAATCTTGCAGAGGCTGTTGTTCTTAGGTGCCGGACTTGGTTCTGACTCACAGCAACCCTGCGTACAGCGGAATGAAACACTGCCCGGTTCTGTCATCCTCACAGTTGTTGCCATGCTTGAGCCCATCGTCACAGCTGCTGTGTCAGTCCCTGTCGTTGAGGGTCTTCCTCCTTTTTGCTGACCATCTACTTTACCAAGCATGACATCCTTCTGCAGAGATTCGTCCCTTCTTTTTTTCTTTTCTTTTTTTTTTTAAACAACTTTTTGTTGTGATTTGGGTGAAAGTTCACACAGCAAATTGTTTTCAACAGTTCATACACATTTTGTTTTGTGACATTGATTGCAATCCCCACAGCGTGACAGCTCTCTGGACTTCCTCCCTGTGGTTACCTTTCCCCTGTGTCCTTCTTTCTTGTGTATTCCTGTCTTCTGAGATTCCTCCCTCTGATCTCCATGGTTGATTGTTCTAAGGAGTGCCCTCCTTTGTGTAACTGTTCACCTCAGAGGCCTATCTGTTGTTTGGCTGAAGGTTAAGCCATGGGATGACATCAGGCCTAAAGGGTGATTAAGGGCCATAGTCTCAGGCGTTTCACCAGTCTCCATCAGACCAGTAAGCCTGATCTTTCCTATGATTTTGAGTTTTGTTCCATGTTTTTCTCCCATTCTATCCAGGATCTCCAGTTTTGATCCCTTTCTGAGTGGTTGTCAGTGGTAGCCAGGCACCATCTAGTTCTTCTGGTTTCAGGGTTATGTAGGCTGAGGTTCCCATGGTCCACTAGTCCCTTGGGCTAATTGTTTCCATGCATCTTTGATTTTCTTCACTCTCCTTTGCTCTACATTAGGAGAGATCAATAGTTGGTCCCTTCTGGCAGTATGCCCAAAATATGAAGACGAAGTCTGGCCATTCTCACTTCTAAGAAGCATTTTGGCTACACTTCCTCTAAGACAGATTTGTTTGTTCTTCTAACAGTCTGCGGTACCTTCAATATTCTTCACCAGCACCACAACTCAAATGCAGCATCTCTTCTGTGGTCTTCTTCATTATTCATTGTCCAGCTATCACAGCATGTGAGGCTATTGAAAATACTATGGCTTGGGTCAGGAATGCCTTCTTCAAAGTGCCATCTTTGCTCTTCAATACTTTAAAGATGTCTTTTGCAGAAGATTTGCCCAGTGGAATACATCATTTGATTTCTTGACTGCTGTTTCCATGGGCATTGATTGTGAATCCAAGTAAAATGAAATCACTGACAACTTCAATCTTTTCTCCATTTATCATGATGTTACTTATTGGTCCAGTTATAAGTATTTTTATTTTCTTTATGTTGAGGTGCAACCCATACTGAAGGCTGTACTCTCTGATGTTCATTGGTAAGTGCTTTAAATCTTTTTCACTTTCAGCAAGCAAGGTTGTGTCATCTATGTATTGCAGTTGTTAATACTTCTTCCTCTGATCCTGATGCCACATTCCTCATATAGTCCAGCTCCTCAGATTATTTGCTTAGCATACAGATTAAAAAAGGTGAAAGGATACAACCCTGACATACACCTTTCCTGATTTTAAACCATGCAGTATCCCCTTCTTCTGTTTGAACGTGTGCCTCTTGATCTATGTACAGATTCCTCGTGACCACAATTAAGTGTTCTGGAATTCTCATTCTTTGCAATGTTATCCATAATCTGTTATTATCTGCACAGTCGATTGCCTTTGCATAGTCAATAAAACACAAGTAAACATCTTTCTGGTAGTCTTTGCTTTCAGCCAAAATCCATCTGACATCAGCAATGATATCCTGCATTCCATGTCTTCTTCCAAATCCAGCTTGAATTTCTCTGGCAGTTCCCTGTCTATGTAATGCTGCAACATTTTTGAATTATCTTCAGCAGAATTTTACTTGCATATTATATTAATGATGTTGCTTAATAATTTCTGCTTTCTGTTGGATCAGCTTTCTTTGGAATGGGCACAGACATGGATCTCTTCCAGTCAGTTGGCCAGGTCACTGTCTTCCAAATTTCTTGGAATAAATGACTGAGCGCCTCCAGCACTGAATCTATTTGTTGAAACATCTCAATGGATATTCCTTCAATTCCTGGAGCTTTGTTTTTCACCAGTTCCTTCAGTGCATCTTGGACTTCTTTCCTTCAATACCATCGTTTTTTAATTATACACTACCTTCTAAAATGATTGAATGTCAACCAATTCTTCTTAGTACAGTGACTCTGTGTATTCCTTCAGTCTTCTTTTGATGCTTCCTGCATCATTCAGTATTTTGCCCATAGAATCCTTCAGTATTGCAACTTGAGGCTTAATTTTTTTTCTATAGTTCTTTCAGTTTGAGAAATGCTGAGTGTGTTCTTAACTTTTGATTTTCGAACTCCAGGTCTTTGCAGATTTCATGATAATACTTTATCTTCTTGAGCTGCCCTTTGAAATCTTCTGTTCAGCTATTTTATTTCATCATTTCTTCTATTTACTTTAGCTACTTTGGATTCCAGAGCAAGTTTCAGAGTCTCTTTTGATATCCATTTTGGTCATTTCTTCCTTTCCTATCTTTTTAATGACTTTTTGGTTTCTTCATATATGATGTCCTTCGTGTCATTCCATAAATTGTCTGGTCTTCAATCATTGTTATTGTATGTGTCAGTAAAAGTACTACATAGAATCCGGCAAATGGTTTTACATAATTGGAACTGTTTGAAAATTAAAAATTGTGAGTGCTAAGATTATACATGGTTTTTAAAATAGTACTTTAAGTTACTCCTTTTATAATTAAAAGAAAGAATCAATCTCCTGCAATTTAAAATTTTACTTTAAGTCCTTAAAAATTAAAGGTAGGTCAAGGATTTTCTGTATATGCCTTTTATTTAAGATCTTTGTAAGATGTATGCAGGCTATTAAAAGATATTCTATATTTCTTTCTATTGACATAATAAGATAAGACTAGTCATGTTTCATGCCTCATGAGCTCATGCCCAACCGACATATTGCTTTGATTTGGTATCAGCTAATTATAATATCTTACTGTCTTATGTCCTTCTTGGTTTCCCTCATCCTCAGGCTGTACCAGCTATCCAAGGCTGGGAAGCTGTGTGTTCCAGCCATGAATGTCAATGACTCAGTCACCAAACAAAAATTTGACAACCTCTACTGTTGCCGTGAATCAATTCTCGATGGGTATGTTTTGTAATCTTTGGGATGAACTTGAGTTGTTGAGTTGGGTCTATCAACATATCACACCCAATATTTTATAACTTGTTGTTGTTGTTGTTATGTGCCGTCGAGTCAGCCCTGACTCTTAGCGACCCCTCCTTGGGTTTCCGAGGCAGTATCACTACGGAAGTAGGATTGCCCAACCTTCCTTCCGAGGAGTGGCTGGTGGGTTTGAACCGCCAGCCTTCTGGTTAGCAGTCAAGTGCCTTAGCCACTATGCTACCAGAGCTCCTATTTTATAACTTAGAGCTACCATTACTATCAGAATTACAGTCAAATTTATTTCACTTGAGAAATCAGACTAGCTCCTCTCTGCTGATGGGCACAGTGCTGAATTTGTGACCCTGTGAACTGTGGGTCAGAAACTAAAGTCAGTATAAATAAGTAAATATCTTTGATGGTTTGGAAGAGTTCCTGGTGCTCTATTCCAGGCCATGTGGCCAGTTCTTGAGCTCCAAATATCATATAATTCCCTGGCTACCTGGGAACTTGTGTCAGGCAATCAATTCCAAGAGGCATTTCTAATTTGTAAAGTCTATGAGGATTTCCAGGCTGATGAAATCTATTTAGATATATTCCAGATACTGTGTTCTCCCAATACTCAGTGTCTATTCCCATATCTGGGAGCTCTGGTAGCATAGTGACTAAGGCACTTGACTGCTAACCAGAAGGCTGGTTTGAACCACCAGCCACTCCTCGGAAGGAAGATGGGGCAATCTACTTCTGTAGTGATACTGCCTCGGAAACCCAAGGAGGGGTCGCTGTGAGTCGGGTCCGACTCGACGGCACACAACAACAACATTCCCTTATCTATGTCCTGATAGCCCTTCATTTCTTGTTAGGAAGACTGAGTAGGTCCCTATGGGAAACCATTAAGTTTGTTTAGAGTATTGTTTTTTTTTTTTTTTTTTTTGCCAAATGGTTTCCATCATGTATAGGTTAATGGAAAAGGGAAGAAAAGCCTATGGGCCACAGTTCTAGACACCCAATGAAGAAAGAATCTGGACCCCAGATTATACTGAGTGGGAACTGCCAGAAAGATCTAGAGTATTTGCTCCCTCATTTATTAGCTATGTGACCCTAGGCTAGTTATTTAACCTCCCTATGCCTATTTCCTTATATGTATAATGGTGACACTAAGACTTAATACATAGACTTATTATGAGGGTTAAATTAGATGAGGCATGTATCCACTTACTCAATGTTAGTTCCCTTGCCCTTCTTTGTGGAACTCTGTGCAGTAAGTTACAGGGTTGAGTTAGATCTTAAGGGAAGCTTCTTGCTTTGAAATCTTTTTGAGGTGAAGAATGTTCATTGCAGATTCTAACTGTTCTTAATTATTACTGCTTTAGAGTCAATAGTATTATGAGGTAAAGTGGGCATTGGAATGAGTGCCTAGTCCATCACTCTGTATATGGGCTGTCATAGGTCTTTCCACATATAAGTGTTAATGAGATGAATATCCTTGAACCTGATAAAATCAATCATCCGGGTATATTTTCATTAAAATATTTACTCATCCACAAATGAGTGTCTTTTAGATTTTTCATAACACGAATCTGTGAGCTTAACATCTGTCTATACTAGATAAAGCCTGTCTATACTAGATGGAAGAAATCACAAGATAAAGGAGCTGAACAGAAGATTTCAAATAGCAGCTCAAGCAGACAAAACCAATTACTATAATGAAATGTGCAAAGACCTGGAGTTTGAAAACCAAAAGGGAAGAACATGCTCAGCATTTCTCAAGCTGAAAGAATTGAAGAAAAAATTTAAGCCTCGAGTTGCAATATTGAGAGATTCTATGGGCAAAATATTGAATGATGCAGGAAACATCAAGAGAAGATGGCAGGAATACACAGAATCACTGTACCAAAAGGAATTGGTTGATCTTCATCCATTTCAGGAAGTGGCATATGATCTAGAACCAATGGTACTGAAGGAGGAAGTCAAAGCTGCAATGAAAGAGTTGGCGAAGAACAAGTCTCTGGGAATTGACGGAATACCGATTGAGATATTTCAACAAATGGATGCCCCATTGGAGGCACTCACTCAGTTATGCCAAGAGATTTGGAAGACAGCTACCTGGCCAACTGACTGGAAGAGATCCATATTTGTACCCATTCCAAAGAAAGGTGATCCCACAAAATGTGGAAATTATAGAACAATATCATTAATATTGCACGCAAGTAAGATCTTACTGAAGATAATTCAGAAACGTTTGCAGCAGTATATTGACAGAGAACTTCCAGAGGTGCAAGCCGGATTCAGAAGAAGACGTGGAACAAGGGATGTCATAGCTGTTGTCAGATGGATCTTGGCTTAAGGCAAAGAATACCAGAAAGATGTTTACTTGTGTTTTATTGACTATGCAAAGGCATTTGATTGTGTGGATCGTGACAAATTATGGATAACATTGAGAAGAATGGGAATTCCCAAACACTTGATTATACTCATGAGGAACCTGTACCTTGACCTGTCTTGTCTTGGCTGTCGTTCGAATGGAACAAGGGGACACTACATGGTTTAAAATCAAGAAGGGAGTGTGTCAGGGTTGTATCCTTTCTCCACACTTATTCAATCAATATGCTGAGCAAATAATCTGAGAAGTTGGGCTATATGAAGAAAAACGTGGCATCAGCATTTGAGGAAGAATCATTAACAACGTGAGATATGCAGACAATACAACTTTGCTTGCTGAAAGTTAGGATGACTTAAGGTACCTACTGATGAAGGTTGAAGAATACAGTCTGCAGTATGGTTTATGTCTCAATATAAAGAAAACAAAAATCCTCACAACTGGACCAATGAGCAGCATCACAATAAATGGAGAGAAGAATGAGGTTGTCAAAGAGTTCACGTTGCTTGGTTCTACAATCGATGTCAATGGAAGCAGCAGTCAGGACATTAGACGACGTATAGCGTTGGGAAAGTCAACCGCGAAGGAACTGTTTCAAGTGCTGAGGAGCAAGGATGTCTCCTTGAGGACTAAGGTATGCCCGACACAAGCCATGATATTTCCAATTGCCTCGGATGCATGTGAGAGCTGGACAATGAATAAGGAAGACCGAAGAAGAGTTGATGCTTTTGAGTTGTGGTGCTGGCGAAGAATGCTGAAAGTACCATGGACTGCTAAACGAACTAACAGACCTGTCCTAGAGGAAGTGCAACCAAAATGCTCCTTGGAAGCGAGAATGGCCAGACTGTCTCACCTATTTTGGTCATGTTGTCAGAAGGGACCATTCCTTGAAGAAGGATGTCATGCTTGGTAGGGTGGAGGGTCGATGAAAGAGGGGGAGGCCTTCAATGAGATGGATTGACACGGTGGCTGCGATGATGGGCTCAAGTATAGCAGGGATCGTGGAGCTGGCGCAGGATCGGGCAGTGTTTTGTTCTGCTGTGCATGGGGTCGCTATGAGTCAGAAATGACTCGACGGCACCTAACAACAACAACATACTAGATTCAGTAAAAGATGCCTTGCATCAAGTGTCTGTACTAGGTTTATAAAGATGGCCAGAGCCTCTTCTAAGCAGAATTTACCCTCCATGTAAGAAAGATTCTTTAATGTTGGAGACGTATGAAAGTGAGAATAAGATGGAAATAGTGGAACCAGGGGATAAGGTTGGATTTTAACAATGAAGAAATAGGAAACTATCAGCTTCCTACTAGAAACCTGTTGAGTAGGTAAGTGCTCATTGATACTGTCAGATGGTGAAAAACTTCCCAAGTAACAGACAAGTAGATCAGGGAACAGAGTAGAGAGCCCAGAAATAGACCCACACAAATATAATCAATTGATCTTTGATAAAGAAGGACAAGCATTCAATGAAGAAAGACGTCTTTTCAGCAAATGGTGCTGGAACACCTGGATATCCACATGTCAAAAATATGAATGTAGGCACAGAGCTACGTCTTCCACAAATACTAACTCAAAGTGAATCATAGACCTAAATATAAGATGCAAAACTATACAACTTAAGGAGGATCATATAGGAGAACATCTAGGTGGCCTTGGATCTGGCAGTGACTTTTCACCTACACCAAAAGTCCAGTGCATGAAAGAAAAACTTGGTAAGTTGGCCTTCATCAAAAATGAGGCCTTCTTTCAAAATGGGAAAGCCCCATGAATACAAAGACACCCAGGACTCAAGGGAGAAACAGAAGCTTTTTCTGATGTAATGTTTTTTGCCCCATAGGCTTAAAAGGACAACAGACATGATGTTCGGTGGAAAGCAAGTGGTGGTCTGTGGCTACGGAGAGGTAAAGCTGGATCTTTCATTTAAGCAATTAAAGTGTATTTTGCTGAACCATCCTAGGATGTTTTCATTTGTGTGACAGAACTTTCATTGACCACCTTAGAGGTCCCCCAGTTGAAGTACAGTCTTTTTCCCTCTGCATTGTTACCGTTTCCCCCTGAGCTGATTTTCCAACTTGTTCCAGTACCACTGTGTGATGTGTTTTAGCTTGTGTTTTGATCATGATTCGTGAGTGTGGGTGTGCTCGTGCATGTGACTGTGCTAAGCAGTGGCCAGGGGTTTGTTTATGAGCCGCAGTCATTTGTTTTCTTCTTTTCTCCAGGCATAGGGGTGGGCGGGGTGGGGGCTGCACTTTACCAGAAGCTTTGAGAAACTGTTTTCTCGTTGGCTTGGCTTAGAATGTGCGTTCTCTCCCCTCCTCAGGTGGGGAAGGGGTGCTGCGCTGCTCTGAAAGCCATGGGCTCCATTGTGTATGTCACCGAGATCGACCCCATCTGTGCCCTGCAAGCCTGGTAAGCATGTGGAGGAGACGCACGCCTCCTCTCTACTGCCACCTAACATGTGACCCTGGAGCTACTGCTGGAAAACAGCCTGGGTGATGCCCCTCTTCTCTTAGACAGGCCCAGACCTGAGAGAAGGCCCATAACTATGAGCTCCTGTGTTTCAGAGTAAGGAGCTCTGCTTGGAGAGAAGGTAACATCTAGAATTCGTAAGGAAATAGGAACAGGGGAGGCCATGAGCCAGAGAGCAAGGAGCCCCTTATCCTCTCTGTATGCAATCTCTGCCCCTTTGAAAACAGTGGTCACAAAGAAATAGGCTGGCATCAGATGCTTTCTGAGGTGACACACCGGGAGGAACACTGAATCTAACCATAATCCTGGAACCTAACCATAAGGACACATCTGGCAAACCCAAAGTGAGGGTAAGGTCTGGTAAATCGGATTCTTTGTGCTGTTCTTGTGATTCTTAAGTTTGAAATGATTCCCAAATTAGAAGTGTTTTGTTTTTTTAAAGTTCCTATCACGTCCCCAGTCCACAGCTAGTATAGGGCTTGTCTGACTGCACTGAGAGGAAGTATGTCAGAGAAACCTGAGTGAGCTCTTTAACTTCTCTAAACCTCATATTTCTCATCCCTAAAATGTGGATAATCATACCTATCTCCGAGCTCTGAAACTTCAGTGAAATAATTGTTACAAATTTTTGTGCATTACATATGAATTGGGAGCTCTGGTAGCATAGTGGCTAAAGCACTTGACTGCTAACCAGAAGGCTGGCGGTTCAAACCCACCAGCCACTCCTCGGAAGGAAGGTTGGGTAATCCTACTTCTGTAGTGATACTGCCTCGGAAACCCAAGGAGGGGTCGCTATGAGTCGGGGCCGACTCGATGGCACATAACAACAACATATGAATTATGTAACAGAGTTACTGGCTTTTTCTGAGTCAGGGCTCCACTGCACACAGGGAACTATTCCCCTTCAAGTGCTCAAGGGGTTCATTATAGAAACCTGAACATGCTTCGTTGTTGTTGTTGGTAGGTGCCGTTAAGTCAAGTCCGACCCATAGTAACCCTATGCACAACAGAATGAAATATTGCCTGATCCTGGGCCAGCCCCACAATCTTTGCTGTACCTGAGCCCATTGTTGCAGCCACTATGTCAGTCCATCTCATTGAGAGTCTTCCCAGTTTTTGCTGACCCTCCACTTTGCCAAGCATGATATCCTTCTCCAGGGACTGGTCCCTTCTGAAAACATGACCAGAGCAGGTGAGATGAAGTCTGGCCGTTCTTGCTTCCAAGGAGCATTCCAGATGCACTTCTTCCGGGACTGATTTGTTGGTTATTCTGGCGTCCGTGGTACTTTCACTTGCCAACACCACAACTCGAAAGCATCAACTCTTCTTTGGTCTTCCTTATTCATTGTCCAGTTTACACATGCATGTGAGGTTATTGATAATACCTTGACTTGGGTTAGGTACACCTTAGTCTTCAAAGAGACATCTTTGCTCTTCAGCACTTTAAAGAGGTCTTTTGCAGCAGGTTTGCCTAGTGCAATATGTCATCTCATTTCTTGACTGTGCTTCCATTGGTGTTGATTGTGGAACCAAGTAATATAGTCTTTGACAACTTCAGTCTTTTCTCCATTTGTTGTGATGCTGCTTATTGGTCCCGTTGTGGGATTTTCATTTTCTTTGTGTTGGGGTATATGTGCTTTACTACTGTTCAAATTTGATAGTGATTTAGACATGGTTCAAATTATCTTACAAACATTATCAGTCACTTACTACGTATCAGGCAACGTGCTGTGTGTGGAGGATGAATAAGATGAATAAGGTAAGGCCCCTGCTTCTCGAAACACATGAGCAATAACCACTGTGTGGTGCAGTAACGGCTGCGTGGTGGTAAACAGCACGTGCTTCTGCAGGAGCACAGAAGAGAAATACCTGACTGAGGAGTAAGAGCCATGGCAGGAAGAGGTGTCAGTGGAGCTGAGCCTCAAACCTGTGTTTTTGCTTAATCTGGAAGTATGTTCCAGGCCGGGAGGACATGTGCATAGTCATCAAGGAAGGAGAGAGTGTGGCATGTTTAAGAAGCTGAGCGAGTATTTTAATGTAGCTGGAAGATACGATAACTTTGGGGGAGTGGTGATATCTAAGGTAAGAATTATGTTATGTGCTGTCAGGTCAGTTCTGACTCATGGTGACACTATGTGTAACAGAATGAAACCCTGTCCGGTCCGGCACCATCCTCACAGTCATTGCTGTGTGTGAGCCTGTTGTTGCACCCACCATGTCAATCCCTCTCATGGAGGGTCTTCCTCTTTTTTGCTGACCCTCTACTTTACCAAGCATGATAACTCTTCTCCAGGGACTGGTCTCCCCTGATAACATGTTCAAAGTACATGAGACGAAGTCTCGCCATCCTTGCTGCTAAGGAGCTTTCTGGCTGCACTTCTTCTGGGACAGATCCGTGGTGCATTCAGTATGCTTTACCAACACCGTGATTCAAATGCATCCATTCTTCCACAGTTTTCCTTATTCATCATCCAACTTTTGCATGCATAGGACACAATTGAAAATACCATGGCTTGGATCAGGCTCACCTGAGTCCTAAAAGTGACATCTTTGCTTCTTAACACTTAAAAGAGATCTTTTGGAGCATATTTGCCCACTGCAATACATTGTTTAATTTCTTGACTGCTGCTTCAATAGGCATTGTTTGTGGATCTAGGAAAAATGAAATCCTTGAAAACTTTTATCTTTTCTCTGTTTATCATGATATTGCTTACTGGCCCAGTTGTGAGGATTTTTGTTTTCTTTGTGTTGAGGTGTTATCCATACTGAAGATTGTAGTTTTTGATCTTCATCAGTAAGTGCTTCAAGTCCTCTTTGTTTTCAGCAAGTAAGGTTGTGTCATTGTGGTGGTTATGTTTGTGTGTCAACTTGGCGGGGCCTGATTGAGTGACTGGGCAGCTGCATGTACTGTTCCCCATGATAAGACTGGTAATCAACTCCATGGTGGAATCTACTGTGAGCACCTGAGTAGCTGCCTTCGGGTATGTGGTCTGCTTCCTGTATATAAGGAGAAGCTTTGAGAATGGTCTCTAGCCTGTGGCATGCTTGGACCCTGCATGTAGCCGTGTTGTTGTTGCTCAGCAGCCTGCGATGCTCTGCCGATCTTGGGACTTAAGATGGAGTTAAGTTAATGGCCTGCTTTGTGGATTGGTAACATCGGGACTGTGCCTTTTTACTTGTCAACCTTGGGGCTTCTCAGCCTCAGCAGCCAGCAGCTGTCTGAGTGAAGAAACGCCTC